AATAATGAAAGCTAATGATCCCAATGTTTAAATTAGTGCTATTACATTACAAGCCATGAGAATAAAGGATTATTTCCCCCTATAAAGGAATGGATTTAGCTACAGCTATCCCTCCAGTGACGTCACGTTTAGCCACACCCACCGACAGGAAGTAACCTGGCAGAAAGGAAAAATGGGCATTTTTGAAGGCTCATATCTTAGTGAATAATTTTTTTCAGACAATGGGAGTTGGAACACATCATTAGTATGGTCAGGCAATCATATTAAGCAAATAAAAAAAATATCTCAAAAATGCACTGAAGTTACCCTTTAACTTTTACCATAGTGACACCCATATGCAGACTCTTGGAGTCTTGGTAGAGGGGTTTGGCTTTTCTACACAATAAATAAGACTGCAGTTACCAATGTAGATCACAGTCTCTGAAGAGTGAATACTATGGATTTAGCAAATAGTAAGGACCTAACTGTCATAATTTTTATTTTCTCAATTTATATTATAGTTTCACACTGTTTCACAATATTTGCAGTTATTGTAGAGTTCTTTGCATTTCTTCTTGCAATCATAATGGTAAGCATTAACAAAGGGGATTGATACTTAATTAACATTATCTATATATAGTCTATTATGTACTACATTGAGGAAAAAGCCACCAAAAGAGTACATAGGGAGCAAATAGGCTCAATGGCCGAACATACACAGGTGATGAGGGAGATCATCACTCTGCAAAAGCAAATGTTGACAAAAATGACCGAATCTTGTGTTTATGTTAAAGGGTAAGTCCGGTGTGTTTTTTTGGGTATTTATTTTATATGCTTAATATGATTGCCTGACAACGATGGACCCCTTGCAAATTTCTGTCTTCTCCAAAACAATTCAGAGTCATGTCAAGGATAGCTAATGATTTAAAGTGACCTCATCATCCATTTATTGAAACTAATAAGATTTTTAACTTGTCCTATATTTCTTCTTGTGCTGATGAAATCAAGGAACATTTATGTACGTTAGATCCTCAGGCCAACCACATCCTCTATTAACTATATAAGAGATTGATTCTAGCAGAATCTGGAACATTTTATTATATATGTGAGTATTCTTTAGGCCAATACTTAAAGCCCAACATACACTAGGCAACAAGCTGCTAGCAACATTTCAGATTCCTTTGGTCTTGTAATCAACATGTTGCTATCAAATTACCACAAATTTTGCTAGCAACATGTTGCCTAGACCTAGTGTATGCTGGGCTTATGAGAGCCTTCTAGATTAATAAACATTAGAAGATAAAAGGGGAGGACCAGCAAGGTATTAAATCAATTGTTTCTCTTTGGAATATTAATACCATATATATAAGTGTGACTTTTAAGAAGTTCTGAGAGTTAAAGTTTTGAGTTTTTTAAAATGTACTTGAATAGACTGTTCACTCTAACAAGGAATATATTTTAAATCACCTTAATATCAATCTTTCAATCTTGATATTACAACAAAATGAGATGCATCAAAATTGGTGATGACATCTTTTAAATGTGCTCCTGTCTGCAGGCATTTTTATCAATAAATCCAGTGTTGATAAACAAAGCAATGGATCAGATTAAATGTTTGAGCCTATTATTATAACACTGTGAGCAAACCTAGGGAATGCCACATTGGCTCCAACTCTACGATTGTAGATTGGTGCTACTTTGCAAGGGAGGTTTTTGTCTCACAGTGCTTGAGCGAGACAGTCAACCTCTTGGAGGACCTGGGCAAGTGGTGGAGATAGACGAGTCAAAGTTTGGCAAAAGACAGTTTAACAGAGGACGACAAAGCTCAATTAAGAAAATTGGAACTATAGTGAGTTTGCAAAAATTGTCAAAGTCAGGCTACACTTCTTAGGTGAGCAATAGCTTCAAGGCACTGTCCACCAACCCAGAATGATAATCATCAAGTTAATGTAGAGATAGTAAAGCATACTTCCGGTATGTATCAGAAAAAAACCAGTCACCATGAGGTTAGGAGAACAAGAAGCAACAGCAAGTCACATCAAGTTGAAGGAACACTCAGCTAGTATTAGGAAAGCTTTATTGAAGTATCTTGATCCATATTTACTGAAGGAATGGATTATTATGATGATACTCAAGTAAGACTGGATTAGATCATTAGTATAGCATAATAATGCATTTCAATTATAGTTAATTTATCAAGTAAAGCTTAACCAGCAGAATCAGATGCAGCTAGAAAGAGTCACTTCAGCCATCATAATCAAAGGGAGGAGATTCATATGGGTACACAGTGCTTTCTTTGCGGGGTTCCGAGACCCCTATGGGTTATCACATACTACTTCAATGAGCCAGTTTGCAGACCCTACAGTAATCTTGAAGGATTTGACAGAATTAATCTACCCACCATACCTATTCCAAATTACAATATCAAACACTTACTCCATCAATGCAGCAGGTTTTAAAGGAATTGGATTAGTTTTTTAACAAGTTATTCAATGAAAAATTATATTTATTGGACAAGAAAAAAACCTCCACACTTCCAAAGACAGCTAAGGACATTTTACTGGTTTGTATACCTTGGATCTTATTAGCAGAAGCCATGGAACTAGGTAAACCTTCAAATTTATTTAAATTAAGGATTCTATCTTTAAAACAATAGGATTATTCAGTTTCTTCTTAGCCTGCAGTGGAATCATCATCACTGTGATTTTGGTAAGTAAAGTTAAGTTAGTTGAGAAATTAATGAATTACAATGCTTATTTGCATGAAGTACTTAAAAAGGAAGATAAATCCAGGCCATAGTAGAGCTATCTATAATATGGAGAGATAGCCCTACCATGTCCTCATTTCACTCTGACCATATTTATGCAAATTAGTCGATTTACTCTAAGCCCCAGGTTCAGTTTGACTTCCAGCTGCAAGGGGAGGAGGGCATGGAGGATATACTACACTCAACAAGGACATTATTACTGCCATTCAAGGTTTGCTTGGTTTATAGATCTATTATTTTAAAAAATCTTTCCTGTAGCATATGTTCTATCAAAATATAATCAAGCGAAGCCTGCAACAATAGTTACTACTATAAATAACAAGTGTACAGCAGCAAGGAGGGCAAATAACAAGTAGACATTGATTGATTAGGATGTTGTGTGTTTAACCATATTGCTACTGTATCTATATGATGCTTGTCTTGATAATAATAGATTATTTAAAAAACAATTAATTATTTTGCATCACGTGACCAGTTCTGTCACTTGCATGCATGCTGAGTAGTGAGAATAGCTCAAGTGGGAATGGCTGCTAGTGATATTCGGGAAACAATCTCTCCAGAGCAAAAAGGGATATTTGATTTTCTTGTAAGCGTATGTGCCAATCAAGGTGACCGTGAAGCAATGGAGGACGACTTGGCTGTTAAGAAGTGTGAGGGAGGCCGTTCATTTATGGCAGCAGTGTTTGATGGCCACGGAGGCCGCGACGCAGCACAGTATGCCAAATCTAGACTGTTTCCACTTCTCGAAACCTCCTGCAGCCATCACTGTACATTATTAGACACTTCACACA